AGTGTAGAGTACGAACTACAGCTAACGGTGGGCTACAATATAGCGGTTTGCTTTACAAGGTAGAGTTTGTAAAAAAAACTTGTAATGAATGTTGTGTTTATGGCCACTTGTTGAGCAGTTTGGTGCGAGTAGAACAAGAATCAGAATACTTGTTCATTGGACATTAAAACTGTCACTACTGGTGGACTTGGATTGACCAGGTGCTGGTTGTGAAAGGGTTAATGGGCCTCATTGGCAACAAACAGTTGTTTTGAAGATAAAAACAGCAGTCTTCAGAATTAAGATTATCAAAAGTAGTTTTACAGAGGGTTGTGTCAGCTTGTGGAAACATTTTTCACCCCAACTTTTATAGTAGGGCTTGTTAAGCCCCAAGGATTATGGCCAGCAAAGTATTATAATATCCACTGAAACATGCATATTTTAATCCGCTTATATTAATTGACTCTAACCATATATCTCTTTGTTAGTTTAAAGATATAAAAAAAGCTTAATTTTGATGAAATTAGTTTTGGGTTACAGATGGTTATTTCAAAAAGAAACCACTGATGCTCACTCTCTCCATGTTTTCAGACACAGAAGTTTTAGTTTGTGTGCGTGTACCTTGTCTGCAAGACAAACATTAATGATGTCACTTCTGTGGAGAGCAGAGTTTCACCTAATTAACAGATGTCAACTAGCTGACGGTTTTAACACTTTTCTGTAGTCTAAGCGATAAGAATGGCAAACTTTAGTTGATCACTTTTTTTTAACCACACTCAACTAACAGGTTGTTGATCAGCACTGGTGACACAACATCTGTGCCTCTTTGTGTCATCCTCTTCTTTAATACGTCTTGTAATATTTTTAAAAATTTTTTTACATGTACTTTCTTATCTAAAACTCGGGCCTTTGCTGTTATTGTGTGAACAGTCATTGTGATAAATATATTTGTAACCAGAAATGCACACAATTTGTGGGGGGTAAATTGTTTCCACATAGTGGAAACTACCCTCTGTAACATTATGTTGGTTCAGTTTTCCTATATATTCTTCATCAGTCATGTTCTTTCATCCCATTGCCCATCACCCCTTAATCTTCTTTCAGCCCCCTTTCTTCTTATGAGGTGTTTACCAGTTCAAGGCGTTCTCGAGCCGTCCTTCTATAAGCCAGTCCCATCTGACTCCAGCTCTCGTATCCCTGTTTACTGCTGGGTAATAATATTCAATTTTTTTTTAAATCACAGTTTCTTTCAGCGGTCTCGTTAACCTAGATGTCCCCCTGGTGAAAGTTTTACATTGTATTTTTATTTGTTTCAACTAAAGATAAAGGTAAGCCTACTTTTTTACATTATTCTTTTAATCTCGGTAAGTTAGAGTCTTTACTTGGTGACATTTTTGAGTCACCTACAACACTCTTAACTTACAAGATTGAAAGAGACAATATCAGCAGTTTTAACTCACATTGCACTGCTTAATAGTACACTACTACACTGTAGCAAACCGCTATGTTGTAGCCCACCGTTAGCTGTAGTTCGTACTCTACACTGTAGCAAACCATTATATTGTAGCCAACCGTTAGCTGTAGTTCGTACTCTACACTGTCCCACTGCTTACTGTAAATCGCCATAAATACTCTCTTATAACATTCA